GCCCCGGCCGCGTGATCCCGGCTGCTGGGCCCCAGGCCGCCCGGCCGCCCCATGTGGCATCCCAGGAACACTGCCTTGGGACCCCGGAGAGGAGGGGGGGCGGGGACTTCCCCTTTGAAGTGACCCCCCTCCTCCTCCCCCGTCCAGGCCTTCCCTGGCTGGAAACGTCCGTGCGGTTGGCATAATCGAGACGATCGGAATCACCGGTCCCTCAGATGCCCCTCATGACGGGGGCAGTGCCCGGGCCCCGAGGAGCCGGGAGGAGACCTCCTTGGACATTCCCCTCCCCAAACCCTTCTCCCAGTCACCCGAGGCTGGGTCAGAGGTCAGGGTGACCACCACCCCGAACGCCCCGTGAGTCCCGCCTGACTCTCGTCCTTGCCCGGGTGCAGAGCATCCCGACCAACCCCTCCACTGGCAGCAGCCGGCGGGGCCCCCACCCTCGGTCACCCCACACTGCCAGGCTGGGAGCTGCGTGCGACCCTGTGCACGGTCATTCCGGCTGCAAAACGGCCACCTCCTGCTTCCATCCCTCCTTCCTCCTTTACCACGGCCGCGTCCCGGCCCGGCTGGCGTGGCTCGTTGGATGAGCTTCGACCTAGGAACCAGGCCTGTGCCCTGACCGGGAATCGAACCGTGACCTCCTGGCTCCTAGGTCGATGCTCAACCCCTGAGCCAGGTGGGCCGGGCTGGTTCTCCATCTGTTCATTATTCTCCCCAGATTCTAAAAGGACGGCTTATCCCCAAACAGTCGCGTTTAAAATGTAAGTCGCTTAAGAGGCTCCCGGGCCCCCAGCGCTGCTCTCCGTGGGCTTAGCGGCCGGGCCTGCTTCCCCGGTTCAAGGTCTTATCCGGGGCCGTTAATCACAGGACAGCGGACATTCGGAGCATTAGCCCGCCAGCTGCTGCGCCTCCCCCTCTGTGAGGCACCTCTTTTTATTTCTAAAAGACATTTTTATTGATTTGAGAGAGGAAGGGAGAGGGAGATAGAAACATCCATGATGAGAGAGAATCACTGATCGGCTGCCTCCTGCACGCCCCCCACTGGGGATGGAGCCCACAACCCGGGCATGTGCCCTGACCGGGAATCGAACCCTGACCTCCTGGTTCCTAAATCGACGCTCAGCCACTGAGCCTCGCCTGCCGGGCTGGTTTGCAATCATGACCAACGTTGAAGTCTCCTGCCCTCCTCCCCTCTTGTTGAATTCTTTGCCCCCAGACCCCACCGACTGCACAAGCTGGGGTACCAGGCACCCGTTTCGATTTGCTCCGAGTCCCGGGAGCTGCCTGACCCTCTGCAGGGGCTCAGCGTGATCCTGACCCTCACGGAGGGTCTCCCAGACCCCACACGGCGCTCCCCCCAACATGTGATGGAGACCAAAGAGGGGGCGACGGTCCGGCGCAGAGAGCGCGGGGGGCGGGGAGAGTCATCCCAGGAGAAGCGATGGGGAGAGCCCAGAACTTCGGGGGGTGGGGGGCCGGGTGCCGTGTGGCCCGGGGATCTGAACAGCTCACACCCCAAACGCATGCGGCGAGGGCCATGAGCT